CACATCGTCGTAATGTTGCTTCTCTTTCCCTTTTCTACAAATACCATAATGGGCACTGCTCTAAAGAGCTAGCGTCTCTTGTGCCATCTACTAAAATTCATTCTCGTGTTACTCGTCATTCAATTAAGTCTCATCCTTTTTCTGTTACTGTTCCTAAGTGCTCCAAAAACTCTTATATGTCTAGTTTTTTTCCTTGAACATCATTTCTTTAGAATTCGCTTCCTTCATCTTGCTTTCCTGATTCATATAATTTGCAATCCTTTAAGTCGTCTGTCAATCGTTATCTTGCTCTACAATCTTCATCTTTTCTCTTCCAGTAACTTTCAACACTAATTAGTGGATGCTTGCAGCCTTGTTGGAAGCAAAGATAATTAAAAAAAAAATCTCAATCTTTTTTTCAATCTTCTCTTTTTTCAATTTGATTTTAGATTTATGAACAAGTGATTGTCGATATTTTTGACGAGAAGATTTCACATACGATAACAAATTCTTTGACATGGGAAAACTATGAGGTTCGAAATTTTTTTGTTTCATATAGCCCAATATTAATCAATAAGAAGTAAGACTTTCCATGACAAGATTTTCAACAAGAAGTATTTTGTTTTCAGTAAATCCTCACTCAACAGTTGCCTGACTGTGAGATAGAACTAAAACAATTTGGGCAACAGACCAAAGGGATTTATAGTTATCTGAACCAATGTGCTTCCATAGAAATGAGTACAACCGATCTTCAGATTCTTCAAATTCTTTGAATAGTTCTGTGTTAGCCTTAACAAAATTTGACAAAAACTTTGAATACTCTTGTTTGGTTTTGATTGTGGTTTCAGAAGTCAGTTTTTTCAAACCAACAAGGATTTCAAGCATTTTGTCTAATAAAGCTGTTGATAACTCTGCCGGTTGCAACATAACTTTAGGAGACAAACAAGAAGTACTTTGTAAGAGATTATTTTTCAATATACTTTTTTCTGTAAAATGCGCACATAAACTAGACAAGAACTGTAAAGCGCCAAACTGAAGATTGTATAAATGACTACCACTCAATTTTCTTTTTTTTTTTCAAAACTCAGTTATCATGTTTTATAGCAAAACCAAGCTTAACAGACTCCAATAATACTTGATAAACTTTATCAGTAAAGTTAACTTTGAGCAGCTTATATATAGAGTTTGCTTTTTCTAAAACATTCCGCAAAAAAGTGGGGTTTTTTTTGAAATTTTGTTATAAGATGCATCAAATAATGTGATATGATAAGGAAATTTGTTCAATTCGTTTAGTATTGTTTCTTTAACATAAGGGGCAACACCTTGACATAAAATGTAACTGCATTTTGTTTTCCCAAAAGTGAAACTTTGACCAATTTGACTGTCTGAAAACATGGAGCAAAACAGCTTACTTTTTGATTCTAAAGAACAGTAAGAATATTTACATTTCAAAACTTCTAGTGACTAAATTATCTTTGCATTTAATCTCTTAACATCATTTCAATTAAATTTGTTTGCTTTTGAGCTGCTTTTTGTTCTGATGGATTAGTTTCTTCAGATAACCTTTCAAAAAAACTTGTCTTACTGCTATTAGATGGACATCTTTCCACATGTTCCTTCCCTTTAGCATGCTGCTTTATATTTTCTATTCCACTGTTTGTAATGCTAAATGACTTCGAACAAACTTTACAAAATGCACTTGTTTTATCTTTTTCATCCTTTTGCAACCAGCATTTGAACTCCTCTTCAATGAGCCATAAGTCTTAAAATTTACTTTTAAACTTAGGCATTATTTATACTTTTCTAGACAAAACATATAAATTCTTTATGGTAGACATACTAGAAAATAACTATATTCAAATCAATTTCTACACAGAAATAAACTCTTTAAAATTGTTGTAAGAATAAGAAAACTTTTTCAAAAATGTATTACTACAACTAATGAAAATGTTAATACTGTAACTAAAATAAAAATCTGCTAATCGAAACATATTATTTAATATTATTTTTTAATAAAAATATATTTATTTTTTAATATTTCTAAAAAATGAGTAAACTTCAAAAAAAAAAAAAAAAAAAAAGGAGTTATCAGGCTTGGAAAAGAATGGCGTGCGATCGAGCGCTATTGTTGACCACGCAAATGATTTTATTTTTTGACAACTTGACCACGATTGTTTAATAAACAATGTTTATATGTTTTGATAAGTTAAAAATTTTAGAATGTAGAAACAGTAAGCTAAACATCAAATAGGAAAAAAATAAAAAAAAAAACTAAAGAAAAAAAAAACTAACAAAAAAAATATTCCTAACGAAAAAAGACACGAAAAACAAATTCATAATGAAAAAGAAATTATATAAGCACTAAAACGAAAATAAAAACTTAAACTTGAAGCGAAACTTTTTGTTACGTTTTTAATTACATATGAAATAAACGTTATTAAAACTTATCTTTTTAAGCATTATTAAAGTTAAGCAAAACGTTTTTAAATTAAGTAACAAATAACTACTAATGATTGGTTTAATAAAAGAACAAATTTTATTAAATTTATTAAAAAGTGTTTTACATAATATTTTTAAATTGTATAAACATTTATTTTTTCAAAAAAGTTGCAAAAAAAAATTGCTTAAAAAAATAACGTAGTCTTTTTAAAACAGTAATTTTTACTAATTTCATGCTCTAATTAGTGAGTCTAATTAAAAAAAGGTTTTGAACTTTTTTATTCGTAAAAATAAAATAAATAAAAAAAAATAAAATGCGACTTAAATAAAATAAACTGCCAACAAGCATTTCAATTTAATTTTAATTTGAGCATTACAACTTTATTAATAAGCGCTTCTCGTAACGAATTTAAAAATTATTATAAAAGATTTAATCTCATTCATTTTTAACGAAATTGAAAAAAAAAAAAAAAAAATTGTTTACAAAAAATAAAATGTTTATCTAAAACATTTTAAAAAATCGTAAATTTAATCATAAAAATTAATCGTATAAACATTGCAAAATGCTTTAAAACTTTTTCATTGATTCAACAAAATACATGCTTATATTAGTAAATAAAGTTATTTTATATTCTTGTGTAATTCACATATTGTGTAAAAGTTAGTCGTCACAAAAGCTTTTGAACTTATTCACAAATTAAAGTAACTTAAAAAAATTCTTTCTAAAAATAATGGTTTAAAAATATTTTAGGAATACATAAGAAAATAGTTTCAAACGTTTAAATTTATCATAAAAAATAAATGCCTACATAAAAAAAAACTTATTTTTAATGTTTTTTATTAATTTACTCAAGCGCTTATGTAAACAATAACTATTTATTATTTACATAAACGCTATTATATTAATTTTATGGTTTTAATTCAAAGCCTTTGCGTAAAATAAAAAACTTTAGAAAATATCAACGATTAAAAGATATTTATAACGTAACACTTTTTTTATTGCATTCAAATTGTTAAAACATCAAAAAAGCTGTGTTCAAGTTGTAAAGAAATAAAAATATTAGCGTGGTCAGTTACAGAGAACAATCGCACGCCATTCCTGTCCAAGCCTGAGTTATAGAGGAGACTTTATCACATTTTTTACTTTTTAGAGGATAATAGAGAACTTTAGAGAAGATTTTTAAAAAAAGAGGACTTTAGAGGATTTTAGAGAATGCATGGTTAAAGTAGTGGACAAACAAATCTTTGTGGTTCGATAGGTAAACAACTTAAAGATTTGACTAAAAGACCAATAGTTGATTTTCTTCCTGTTCAGGAAAATTTGGAATTGATTCCTCAGAGATTAGTAGCAGGATTAAGTGAAGATCAACGTTATTTCTACGAAATGTATCATCCCATTTCTTCCTGACATGTTTTTCCATGCACAATGCACAATGCAAGATGGTTGACACAAGCCAACAAAGTATTGTGTTTATATATTTCAACTGTTGATCCTGATGCGGCATTAGTTAATTTCTCTCCCTCTTAAACTGTGATAGCAGTTTTTACATCAAAAATATTTTAAAAGATTTAAATGTAAATAGTTTAAAGCATTTTTAAAATTCAACCATGAAATGAAAATAAGGGAATATGCATAAACGTAAGAAGTGTAATTAAAAACTTCCACAAACTTAAGATTTTCTTATTTAAATTACTCAAATAAGTATTAATAAAGTTGTAATACTAAAATAATTTTTTCAAAGTTGCTCTTGGTCTTGCGGAAAAATAATTTTTGATTTGATAACTTTCATAAATGTTAAGAAAAATGACTCAGGAAGAGTGTCACCAGTTTTTTAAAATCCCTTTGTTAATTATTTTTAATAAATGAGTTCAATACTTTTGCAATTCTTTCGGTACATAACTCTAACTCTTAATGATAGATATAAAAAATTCGATAATAATCTCTCGGTAATGTAAGTGATGTAACATAAGTTAAATATATAGTATCAAAAAAACAAGTTTATTTTCCTTAGCCAGTCACCTCTGATAAATTTTTATATACTTTTTAAATTGGTATAGAATTCTCAACATCTTGTGAAAGTTTCTAATACACCCGCTTTACTGATTTGCAGAAATCTAACCTAAAAGTTAAAGCAATTTTTTAACCTGGTTTTCCATGTAACGTAAGTTAAGAATGGCATTTTCAGTAATAACTTCGCCCTCTCTTGGCCAGACTCAAAACTTTTTAGCTTATTATATTTTTTAGAAAAATAGCTTTCATACAAAATAGCTTAAAGTTTAATTTACAGTTTAAATAGGCAAATATTTGAAAAAGTTATTGCATATGTAATGCAAGTTGAAAGTAGAATTACCATTTTTAACTTACATTATTCATATCTATTATGGTGTCATTCTTTTCTATTCATATCTATTCTGGTGTTGAAAATTGAACAGGGTCATTAAAATATCTAAAAACTGCCTTACTGACAGTTTTAAAATGTTTTAATGATGCTGTTTAATTATCGGCCCCAGTTGGTCTTTAGTGAGACCCTATCTTAAAGGGATGTTTACTTAACCTGAAATCAAATTTTAGGAATACATACCATTAAATCTTGAGAAATATTTTTTCTGTTTGATATTAGAATGTGACGCTGGTTTTCATTCATGTCGTTTATTATACCATGCTAGTACTTTGTTATTAAACTAAAATTAATTA